TATAGAGAGAGAGAGAGAGAGAGAGAGAGAGAGAGAGAGAGAGAGAGAAGAAAATTATACACATGATGATTCCAAAGAACATGTAGCCTATATAAAATATATCACAAATGACAAGATAGTGATGTCAAAACTTAATTCAGATCATTCAAACTCAAAGTGAAATACATGTATACATGTATGCACTGGTGCCAACGATTAACTTAAGCATAACATTTATTAAAAGCCAACAAAAAAACACACCCTGAGCCAAATAATATAATACATGAACTTCATTTCCCAAATCAGGAGACAAAAACTTTTCTACTCTGATTACTCAGAAATTAAAAGATCTTGAAAACCTCAGGAGGATGGAAGGCTGGGGGCAAGAAATGTAGTTAACCCTTTTCAATTACAGTTGTTTGATCCTGGTATGAATTTTAAAAATTTCAATAAGGTTTTCTTTATCACTGGAAAGAGCAAATGAGAGTGTGTATACTTAAAAAACATCAGTAGCTGTACACAACCTGAACCAATTTCTCGAGATAACTAAAGTATGATACTGTTCAGGAACCTCTATCCTTTACCTGAGTATCTTCAAAATCGCAACGTGAATGTCTGAAAGCAATGGGCCTTATTAAGTAGGAAATATCTATTTTTACTGCCTCTCATTGTTGAGTGTATTCTAAGAGTATTGAAAATGGGCTGATTAAAAAGAGGAGAAAAATTCCTTGTACCAAAGTCAATAGGAGAGGAGATCATAAAGAGAAGACTGCATGCAGCTCACCTAGCAACAGAGAGCATGCTGAGAAGGGCAAGCCGACTGTTTTCAGGCCAGGCATAACTGCTGAAATAAAACAAATGGCTGACAGTTGTCAGCAGAGCAAGCCAAGAAACCAGAGAGAAATACTGGTACAACACAGTAGTGGACGAGCACCATGGGAAAAGCTTGGATCTGATATTTTTAAAATAAAAGGTTCACAGTATCTAGTTCTGGTAGACTATTTTCCAATTTCCTTGAGGCCGACTATTTGCCAACATCGACATCTGAAACGGAAATCACCAAAAAGAAATCACATTTTGCTACATATGGAGTGCCAAAAATGCCTGTCACTGACTGTGGATCACAGTATACAGCTTCCACTTTCATACAGTTCACACAACACTGGAGTATCACTCATGTACGATCATCTCCGGGCCATCACCAAGCCAATGGAAAGGCTGAATCGGCAGTAAAAATAATAAAAACCAGGATGAAACGTTGTGTGCTTGATTACGAAGATCAATACGAAGCACTTTTAGAACTTAGAAACACCCCAAGACAAGACTGGACAGTTCCAACCCAGATGATGTTTCAGACAGAAATAAGAACGCTCTTGCCTCAAATGAAAAAGTAAAATTATGTTCCAGACAATGACATGAAAAGATTAATAGCTCGCAAGATGAAAGTCAAGAGACTATTTGACAGAAAGGCCAGAGATATGAATCCCCTGCAAAAGAGTCAGACTGTTTATTACCCAACTCCTGATAAACCCGGTTGGAACGCAGGTAAAATCAAAGAAAAGATCGACATCAGATCCTATAAAATGGAAGGGGAAGCTGGAGGCACCTTCATCAAGAATAGGGTGCATTTGAGACCAAAATAAATACCTTTTCACGAAAGGAAGGATGAACCTGACGACAACGTCATGCAGACCCCAGCAAAAGGTCCTGCAGTAAACGATCACAGCTTGCGAAGACGACACAGCACCACTGTTGATCCGCCTGATTGAAAAGTTTCAGCTCTTCACGGGTCGAGCTGATGCAGTCAGACTGTTGATTCTGTTGAATCTACCACAAGTCAACAACTAACCACTTCACGACCCACAAGCTCGAAACAAACCTGACTCCTCATCCAAATCATAGCAATGTGCAAAACAAACACTACTCAACCAGAAGTGGCTGCAGTGTCAAACTCAACCCAAAGTATACATACGGTTGAGATGATAGATTACACCAAAATTAGATCCATGGCCTGTTTTAATAAAGATTGTGATACATACATTTTTGTTAGCATGCAACATGCAGTCTATAACAGCATCAAAACAAAGCAGTACTGTCTACACAACTGAGCATTAGCCACTATGCATAACACTTGTCCACCATCAGAATAGTAGAGCTCTGTTTAGAAATCAAAATTTAAATGACAAAGTTCCATACTCATCACTGCTGAGAACTGACCAGCAGATGACCTGACCAAGTCAAAAGAACTTATCGAAAAAGATATTTTTGAAAAGACAAGGAACAGAAAATTTCGATTTGTGTTATTAGAAAATTAATGTTAGTGGACAATCATGACAGTCCATTCTAGTAGAAATCAGACACGAAGTGGAGGGATTGCTGTTTGATTTAAAAGGTTTACAGTTTGATTTAAATCAGTATTAATTTCTTGGGAATGGGATTCAGGAGCTAGAACGCTTTCTATTTTGTGTCTGTAAAGCTCAAATAATATTAGTAGTAGAATTACTTATTATTATTTAACTTGCCAATGAAGAGTGTTTCTTATAAAGGGTTTTAAGCATCTACACAGAGCACACAAGAAAATTATGAATGGCATTACATGCCTGGATAACTGCAGAGAATAAGAAATAGGGTAGGTCTACACTGTAAAAGATTTAAGTTTGAAAGGTAAAAAGAAATGAGAACAAAACTAAATGAAACATTCCGCAGAAAAATGTGCATACACACCAAACTTATATTTAGAAACACACATAAACACATGAACACAACATGACAATAATTATGAAGGATCTAATTTTCTGATTTGCATGCATTGATCAGGTCTTTCATTCCAGCTGGAAGCATGCTTTTCGCACCTGGTCTAGGCTTTTCAGTGACCCTGAAAACCAAATCCTGATGGGAACCTTCGAGCAACTGTTTCTCACGTTCCCAGCTGAACAATGCTGAATCTGTTGTAGGCAGAAATGGGTTGATTTCAATAACCCATATCTTTGAACCTGACAGAAAAAACAAGGAAAGAGATCAGTACAGAACAAAGTAAAAAACATTAATTTATACTTACAAACTTAAAAGTTCTGTCTCGCTTTCTTTCTCTCTCTCTTTCTCTGTCCGTCTGTCCGTCCGTCCGTCTGTCTGTCTCTCTCTCATTTAAATATCTGGAAAAAAAATGTCTGCATGAAGTGTACTAAGAACCCTTCTCACCAAAAAAACCTCTTTCTTCACATACACATGTACACACACACACACACATACACACAAACAGAGCACACATGGGTGAGCGTGCGCACATGGCACACATAATTTCAAACACATAAAAACATTATTTTTAAAACCCATATAAAAATAAATAAATAAATTTGTGTTTTTTAAAGTTCAGTCACACTATGTAAAAAGAAAGTTTTTAACCATATAAGGTGATCCACATTTAAATCTTGTAACAAATAGAAGTTGTTCGACCACTGCTGAACTTTGGCCAGCCAAGTCTGCCACATATATATGCTGTTTATCAAGAACAAAATCTTTTCCATAGCACTGTTACTTAAAATTTTGTTGGCCTACATTATTTTAACAATTCTGACAAAATAAGACGAGACCAACCTTCTCCGCAAACTGCAAAGTCAATGATAAAACTGTGCAAAAATCCCTGCAACTTCTCTGCAATTTCTTGTTCATAGAATCTGTGAATTAGGTCACAGTAATATTGCTGATTCTCTTTGAGCCTCTTGGAGTAATACAAAAAGTTGTATTGTGAAATTGCAGTCATTCTTCTGTTTGAGACAAAAGCTCTGAATTCCATGTCAACATCTATCTCCACAAACTTTCTAATGACCCAATTTTCTCTGAACCGATCAGGGACTGCGAGGGCTAACAAAAGGTCCTGATATGTACGTTCGCTTCTAAAACAAGCATCCAAGGCTTCATCAGCCGTTGACATGCGTAACGCTTCAAAACAAGCTTTAAGTAAACACTTAATCTGAGTATTTTCCAGAAAACGTTCTTCTTTCTGTTCTTTCTCGAGGTAGTGTTTATACAAGCTTTTGAATCTGTCTTGAGCTAGAGGAGCATCTTTTGGACTGCGACTTGACAGTTTTATGAACACAAACTTTGCTTCTTCTTTTCTTGTAAAAGAATCTATCGCTGTTTGCAATCTACATGATATATCTTCTACTTTCACAAGTTCCTCCGCACTTAAATTTTCTTTCCAAGAAATTGTTGATATTCCAGAAGGATCAAGATTGGCAAAAAGCCTTCGATAAACATTCACAAACATATTAGCTTCATCTATAGTGATAGGAACAAATTCACTTGGGAATGTGAAGTCTTTCAAATATTGAAGCCATTCTTCCATATTAGCATCCAAAACACTTTCCTGATACGCATTTATTTCATCTTGATGCAGAAATCCCCCTGTTTTGGGGCTTGAGTAATCTCTTGTGAGTTCCCCCGTACTTTTGAGTTTGACAGATTGTAACTGCTCTGCTAAAGTCTTTTCAGTCATCGTGAAAGGAGGTACAGACAGAGCCTTTAAGTTTAGCTCTTTCCAAAGCTATGATTGTTGACGTCTTAGCATAGAGCCTAATAATAATGTAAGTCCACTGGAAAAGCGGTGACACAAGGCGCATTACCTCTCCTCTCCATAACACGGTTGAGGACAAATTCGAAATTACAGCACAGATGGAAACAAAATGAACCAATACGAGTAAACTTTAAAATATATATAGATATATATATATAAAATATGCAATAATGTATGACGGCGGAGATCTTTTAGGTCTCAAGAAAAATGATCTATGAAGAAGTTAAAACTTGCGAATACTTTCTTCGACTATTTGTAAATTGCTTTTTTAAAAAGTAATCAGTACAGTATCTCGAGAATTGTTCGATTATTGTGTTGCTGAAATAGCCCAGGCAATGGTATAGGCCTAGGCCTAGGCTGTGCAGAGCTATTTACTATCTTTGGCTATATTGGCGTTGAGAATACGATACCAATGCCAATAAATAGCCGATTCAAGTTGTGCCGTATCGATGTCAGTATAATATTATTATCTTTGATGCGAATGAAAACAATGATGAATGAATAAGTTTCTAATTTTGGGGTTGGTGTTGGTGGTGGTGTTGGTCCGACCAGGACCGAGCGGTCCGAAGGGTCCTGGTTTTTCACGTTAGGCTAGGTCTTGGACGCAGAATTCTATGGTCTTGGATGATACGAAACGTTTGCGTTTCTTTAAATAAATTCTCCCCTTAGTTTAAAAGCCTCTACGACGTTTGAAGCCTACTGAAATCAAGGTGCACGTTAAGCCAGTCTCAAGGGGCCTATTATACTCCGGTCCTTTCTCTGGAGTCAATAAATATCCCATCATATTATTATAATATTATCAAAACCTCACGGGTTTTGTCCAGAAATTAATATGATGAAACACGAACGGTGCTTGAGAAGCCCAAAGAAAATGTTAGAAGAGTAACAGCCAATTTAGGGGTCTAGATCTAATGGTAAAACTACAATTATAATGGAATAATAGATTGTTCAAAGTGTGAACGAAGTGTAAGAAACAAAAGTTGGGGAAATCTTAAAGTACCACAACTACAATATTGTTTATAAATTTTCTTTTAAAAATAAGTTCTCACATAATAATTTATTACATGAAGGGTTAGATTTTCTATACGGCCTATGTTGACCAATATAATCTTAACTTTCCAGTGCATAATCTGTTTTTAGTTTGTTTTTGGTTTTTTTAATTAATTTGTTTTGTTGTTGCTGTAGTTGTTGTTGCTTGTTTTTACCGCTTATCGAATGATAAGTCACCGAGGTAGCCTGACAAAGCACAGTACATAAGCATTGAATTCTCGAAATGTGGAAATTTTGGTAGAACTTGAACGTGACAGACCTAATAAAATCTGGGAAGCTTACTTTTTTTTTTTCTTTTTTTTTGGCGTTCTGTCAGGAATTGCCACTTTGGGTTTTTTTCGGCCAAATTCGTTCGAAAAGTTATTGCGTTGTGTAATAGTGGTAATAGGGAATCATCGACTTTTCTTTTGTCATTTCCGGTAAATTCTTGCAATAACCCCTCGTTCTATTGCTATTAACAAGCCCACAATTCGTGTGATATTCCTCGAAGCAGAATAGAAAATCTGTCTAACGGCTAGTGGGCCTTTTTTCATCAATAAATGAGACGTGTACAATAATAGTATGCTCCAAAACGAGAATTGTTTGCCTTCATCCACAGAATTCTACACTTAGTGTAGAATTCTCTGCCTTCTTCTGATGAGTTTCAGATAATTGTATAAGTAATCAACTTATAGATCTAGATCTGCAACAGATATTGTTAATATGGGACCTGTAGCCTTTTCTCAGAGGGATAGCCAATAGAAAACTGAACGCAGTAACTTCAGATATTATGTCCTGCAACGTCTGCTGGGGTGCTGGGCTTATAATTAATGCAGCTCGGATCAGCCCTACCTGAATTTCTTTACCAAAAGTTACTAAATTCTGCTTGCTAAAATCAAAACACACAATTAATAAAAGTTATAAAAGGAACGAATATATTCTGAAAAGAGTCACACCAAGTGTACTCATACGAAACGTTGATAGGGCATAATTACGTGATTAGTGATTTGATTTGTCTTATTGTACTATTTACCGTGGCTTTATTAGCTCTTGCTGGGGAGAATGTCATTGTATTGTTGTATTCCCACATATAATACTGAATATAATCGAGGTAGTGACTTTCGCATGGGATCACATAGGAAAGAAGGAGCAATCAAACCACTCAAAATCAACACTTCGATCCAACCACTCACTCTTAAGTGTAGTTCATACTGATGTAACACAAAGGCATAACACATACAGCCCCCCACAAGCGTCTGATGTAACACAAAGGCATAAAGAGCAAAGCCCCTCACGAGTTTTTGTAAGAGTTTTACGGAACTTGCAACACAATTTAATAAGGTTATTTATAAGTGCCGAAGATAAGGTGTTATTCAAGCCTTGGGAGTAACAAACACAAAAAAGGAGGACGATAGATGTTTGATAGGAAGGAGCAAACCACACCAGAGCATCCCCAACCACCCACAATTTTTATGTGTGTCCAAAATAATAGGTACGGCCGATTATTATTATCGATTAATAATAATAATAAAATAATTTTTTTGCTTATCTTTGTACAGCAACCATTTCCCCCCCACCCATTCTCACTAGACTAACCTGGCAACCACATTTTTGCTTGTGGACACTTGGACACTGCTGCCAATGCTGGCTGGCTTCGCGTTGCGGTATCTGTCTTCCGGTGTGTTCTGTTCACTAGTGGTGTGCGAGTAAGCGAAAAATCTTGGTCGAGTAATGATCGGTTAAATGCAAAATTGTTCGGTTAACCGATGAAATTGACCGAAAAAATTTTCTCGACCAAGAAATCTAGATCGAGCAGGGGTCAAAAGTCATCGCAGCTGCGCTGTAAGCACGCATTTTTCAGCTGATGTCTGGATCTAAAAATAGCCTAGCTTTTGGTCTTCGTCGCTTCGCGCGGTATAAAAATAAGAGTCAAATAGATCGAGAAGATGCGTGCAAAGTTAGTTAATTTGTTTAACATGTATTTTGATTGCTCCTTTCGGGAAAATTGAAGAATACTGGACCACTCGTATTATTGCGAGAGAATGGGGGGGGGGGGGGGGGGCGGTTCTAAGCTAGGCCTACCTGTGTGAGAGGGATTAAAAGTGGATAAAAACTGGGGAAAATCATGAATTCCTAAGGTTGTCGAGACATAGTCAAAAGTTGTCCGAATCCGCTGGTCCGGTAGGCCTATTCTTCAATCTTACTTCCTTTTTTTTGTTTCTTCGCTCAGTTTCCAGCCCAGATCGAGCATATTTTATTAATAGGTTAGGCTAATTCATTGTGCTGGTATTTATTAAATGTGTTTTTCAAGAAAAGTAAAGATCTAGGCATAGAAACAAAAATCAGCACAGTAATACAGAATAACAAGTTGCAGATCAAAGTGGAAGCGTTGAAATTAAGTAAAAAGAGGAAAGCATCCAAATTACTAAGATTGAGAATGTGAACAAGTCTAGATCGGACGAAATATTCTGGCTTAAGAGGTCAGAATGAGAGCAGAGAGAAATGAAGAGGAACTGAAATAAAGACTTGGTTTGTATAGATGCCAGTGGGTCACTGGTTTGCATGATATAAATCAGCTGATCGGACAAAGTGAGAACAACAACAACACTAGATCTAGCCTACAGACGATGCGTTTCAAGGTCATGTAGGGCCAGACGTAGATCTAGTAAGCCTACGATTCTGCTGCTGGCATGTTGGAGGGGCCTGGGTTTACGGGTTTTAATACGTTTTTATATTGTTGTTGCTGTACTGTCAGTAAATCATTTAGAAAATGGTACCAAAGATGCTTTTGGAAGAGAGCGACCTAGCGCGAAAAGCTCGCGCATACGCTTATCAACGAAAAGACCCTCATATTAAACCTGGCTAGATCTAAAAATAAAATGTTCCGTTATGAATATTGATAAGTTGACACACTTGTCTCGCTTTCGTGCTGGTGGCGCGAGACATTTGCCAAGTTGTTGGTTTTCCAGGAGCACAGCCATTTCAATGTCTTTTACCCTCAGTGCAGTTAAAAAACCGCGACAGTCTAAAAATAAAGAGTGGCTGCTGGGTTTGACATTCAACAAGATTCCCAATTGTGTATCTGATAGTAAATATACTCTTGGGCAGCTATTTCCTAATTAGAATATACGACTTTATTCTATTTTGACTAATAATATGACTTTAAAATATGTTTGGCATTTGTTTGTCAGCAACAAGTAATTTTAGCGTTTGATTGCTATTTGTTCGAACAAATTTCATCATTGCCAGTTTGAGGTTTACCCAGGAGCCAGGAGCACCATTATCCCAAAAGCCTAAACGAACACAAAACCGCGACCGTCAACAATTGAAAAGGATACTAGCTTTTGTACTGAATAATGAGCTCCCAGTTCTACTATTATATTAAAAATATATCTTACAGAATTATAACTGTTATTTCACTCTTTTTAAAGCTAGAAGTTTGCCGTATTTAAAAATGAGGCAAAGATAAATATTACGTTTCGCGTTTGTTTGATAGTGACAATCAGTTTTGGCGTTTGATTGATGTTTGTTCGAGTAAGTTTCATATATCTGATTGCCTGTTTGAGTGTTACCCAGGAGCACCATCCTCGGGAAAGCCTAAATGGCGAACACAAAAACACAACCGTCAAAAACTGAAAATGATACAGGTTTTTATACTGGATAATTAAAACAGATTCTACTATCATGATAAACATACATTTTATGAAATCGTAAATGCTTATTGCATTTTGTTAAAAGTTTGAAGTTTGCTGGTTTTCAAAACGATGCAATGACAAAATATGGGTTTCGCGTTTGTTTGATAGCGACAATTAATTTTGGCGTTTGATTGATGTCTTGCTCGGTCAAGAAACCATTTTGGTCGATTTACTCGACCAAGAATCTTGCTCGGTTAATCGAAAAATTTGATCGATCAATTGCACCACTACTGTTCACTGTTCAGTGTTCTCAGTGTTCAGTGTGGTGTATCACCAAGTCTTGTTCAAGTTCCAAGTCGCGTTTTCTTGACTGAATAAAGTACTCAGTTCAAGTGCATCGAACAAAGTTGTCAACGTTTGTTTAATGTGTTCTGATAAAATGTCCGGACGTGAGTCGAGAGGGTTAGACGACCCGCCAAACAGTAGGCTGTTTATACTGTGTCAGAAGGGTACCACTGAGCAAGAATTCCGAGATTCGTTTGACCAGTATGGAACAATTGAAGATATTTGGATCATCAAAGACAAAAGGACTAATGAAGACAGAGGTAAGAATAGAGATGAGACCAATATCCCACAATTCTAGATCTAGAGACTAGAGGAAGTTTGGGTATTTTTTTACTTTCCCTCCCGTCTCACACTCAGCTACCAGTTGTCTATTTTCTACTAGATCTAGATTCTAAATATTGATGCGCTGAACACGAATATCAACTTCATTTCCGTCGCAAATTAATGGTTTTTGAAATATTTGATTGTTTTTAACCGAGATAGACATGCTTTGGACCAATCGGGGGGTTCCAGGGGGGCCTGCCCCACTGGGGTAAAAGAAAATCTGGGGGGTTGCAGGGGCAGGGGGGCATGCCCCCCTGTTTTTACACCCATAATTTGATATTTTACAGTTAGATTTGAAATTGTCTTGAAAATAATTGATTTGCGACAGTTTTAGTGGCTTTATGTGTGATCTGCAGCAAACAGTACAGCAGTTTGACCCCTGAAACAGTGCATCTGTGTGCGGGAGTGAAAGTAAAAATTTACCGAAGTTTGGTACAAAATTGACGGAAAAATCCGTAAAATTAAAAGAGACTCAGACTGGTAAACTTGCTTTCAATTTCAAATCACTTTCACTCCCGTTATTCAGATCATCATCATTGTCATTGTTAGTGAGAGTGATCTGATGATCATGATAGTAGATGGCGGCCACCTCTACAATAGCGCAGGCGGGCCTTTTGGCATTTTTTCATATTCGGACTCGTGTCCGAATAGTCACTTCGTTTACTGTGAGGAAGTGGCTATTCTCACCGGGTGAGAATAAAAATACGATCTACCTCTCACCCCGGGTGAGACTTGCCAGCATAGGCTATTCTCACCCAGTGTGAAACAAGACCTGCTTTTCCTCATTTTGGAATAGACCTGGATTCTAGATCTAGATCTAGATCTACTGTCTATCGGTGTGGATGATCAAAATCAAATTGATAAAAGCCAAGAAAAAATTATGTTAAAGCACAAAAGTAAAAGTAAGCTAATTTGATCGTCTTCAAAGATGCTATGGCTATTTCACTTTTCGAATCGAGCCGAACTACGCGGGTCGCCATTTTGTTTTGCCCGGAAGTTCTCGCAAGATCTACTCCTCCCCTCTCTCTCTCTCTCCCTCTGTCTCTTTCTGTTGACCAAAACAAAGTTAAAAAATGAAAAAATGATGTTAAAAAACAAAACTAAAATTTGATTTGGTTGTCTACAAAGATGCTACGGCTATTTAACTTTCCGAATCGAGCCGAACTACAGTCTACGCGGCCATTTTGTTTTGCCCGAAAGTTCACGCGCTTCTCCTCTCTCTCTCTCTCTCTTTCTCTCTCTCCACTGCCCACAGACAAAATTGCACGCTTTTAGGCTAACACTAACAGTAGTATAATAGATCTAGAACGTTTGTTCACAGCACAGAATTCTATAATTTTGTTATCACAGTGTAGAATTCTGTGGTTCAGGGTGAACACTTCACTGGTTGGCCGAGGCTATAACGGTGAACGCCCACCGGGTGAGAATGGCCAAAAGACTCGCCTGCGCTATTCTCACCCGGGGTAGGCCAACCAGTGTAGCGTTCACAGTGAACAAACTTTTCAGCACTCTTTGTTGAAAGTGCAATTTTGTCTGTGGGCAGGAGAGGAGTAGCGTGAGAACTTCTGGGCAAAACAAAATGGCGACCTGCATAGTTCGGCTCAATTTGAAAAGTTAAATAGCCGTACCATCTTTGCAGACGACCAAATTAATTTACTTTTGTGTTTTAACATCATTTTTTATCTTTGTTTTTGTCCATTTGATCGTCCACACCGATAGAAGACAGTAAATTAGCATTCAGAAAGAGAGTGCAAGAGAGAGGAGACCAAGTAGATCTTGCGAGAACTTCCAGACAAAGCAAAATGGCGACCCGCGTAGTTCGGCTCGTTTCAAAAGTGAAATAGCCATAGCTACTCTGTAGACGACCAAATTAGCTTACTTTTGGGCATTCCTGTACTATTGCGGTCCCGCAAGATAGACTAATTTAGATCTGGTAAATTTTTACTTTCACTCCCGCACACAGATGCACTGCTGCGGGGGGTCAAACTACAGTACTGTTTGCTGCAGATGACACATAAACTCGCATAAAGCCAGCAAAACTATTGCAAATCAATTATTTTCAAGAAAATTTCAAATCTAGAATCTAACTGTAAAATATCAAATGGGGCACCTAGCCTCAGTGTCTACGTACATGGTAACCGGGCACCTAGCCTCAGTATCACGTACACGGTAACCGTGCAGTCCAGAACTCAAAGTTCAGTTTTTTGTCATCCGGTGTTGCCTTCATCCCCACCCCTCCCCCGACTGTACATGATACATTTTAAAAAATCAATAATACCCCCCTTTCCGGAGCCCTATACTTTGCAGCGCACAGACTTTGAATGAACTTTGGTGACCCCAACTGATACTCACAATGTGATGCGCCCACACAGGTTCACTGACCAGTCAAGATGGCGAGCCCGACACAACGCTTGTATGGCTTTCTTTTTTTTTCATCAAGTGACAGCACAGGACAAATATTGATTTATTTTCGTTCCGGTTACCGTGTATGTAGATACTGAGACTAGGTGCCCGGTTACCGCATACGAAGTTACTGAGACTAGATGCCCGGTTACCGTGTACATAGACACTCCGAAAACTAACTATTTAAAAAACTATTAATTTGCTACGGAAATGAATTTGATGTTCGTGTTCAACGCATCAATATTTAGTAGAAAATGGACAACTAGTAGTTTAAGTGTGAGACGGGATGGAAAGTAAAATAATACCCTAGATAACTAAATCACACAAAAGCAAAGACTAAGTTACTGGATATTGATATTGATTTAAATATTCGGTATCAGTGTTTTATCAGTCGATCTAGCCTACCAAATGAGCAGTAGAATTTCACTTGTATTTTCAAGACAAGAGGGGTTTTAGGGGGGCATGCCCTCCTGGTTTTGACCATAATTTTATGTTTTGCAATCGGTTTGATTGGCTATCTCTCCATAGGCCTAACGGCCCGCGCATCAAAATGTAATCGTTTAGATCCAGAAGTAATCGTTGGTGGGGTCAAAACGAGTATCCTCAAACGGGGCCACAATTGTACAGGAGTACCTACTTTTGTGTTATAACGTCATTTTTTCTTTGTTTTTGTCTATCTGATCATCCACACCGATCATGGGTGCCAGACCTCTGGGCCCAGCCCGGAAATTTGGGCTGACAAAATTTCACAGCATCACTTTCCGGGTTGCATCGGGTCTTGTATGCAAAGATACTAGAGCAGCGCATAAAAGACCTATTGTAGAGAGAAATTTGAGCAAAGCTCAGTTTGGATTCCGAAAGGGAAGAGGATGCACGGATGCCGTATTCGCATTACGACAGATATGCGAGAAAACAATAGAACACAACAAAGAATCCAACATCGTCTTTATAGACCAAGAGAAGGCTTTTGACAGAGTAAACCATGGCGTCAGCAGACCTGCCACTCATCCCGATTTAATCGGGATATCCCGATTTTTTGCCCCAAATCTCAAGCATCCCGATTTTCCCGATTTCGATCGCCAGTATCCTGATTTTTTTTTTGTGGTTTCGTCTGTTGCGTCCGATTCTTGGAGAAAAAAATATAAAAAGTTCTGCAATCTCTTCTGCTTGGAAACACCGATTGGATTTTTTATCTGCAGGAACTTGGAACGCTATTTTCCAAAGCATCTATGCCGAATCTAGGTCTAGTAGATTACTAACGCACGTTATTTAAACTAAAATTGACCTAGTTTCAAACGCTCATTCGCATCACATGACATGACCTCGTACATGTAGTAGTGAGTAGCGCGTGTGTCGGGGACCGTCAGTTGTCGGGGTCAACAAAGTTCATTCACACCGGTCGCGTTGGTCGAGGTGTTTTTCGGGACTTAACCAGTGTGGATGGCCGGGGGGAGGGGGTGGGGGTATTGTTTTGACACTTGGGCTTAAAATGCGTGCTGTGATACAGGTAGGCCTACTAATTAAGGGAAAAGGAATGAGAAAAAAAAATGAACAACCTTGGCGCGATCTTTTTTTCGATGTGATGGAAGTCAAACGTTGTTAAAACGCGGGCGTTTTGCGTGGATGATTAGAGTTATGTGTCAGCTATTTTCAAGACTACGAGTGTTTCAGCATCACTGTGACCTTCGCTCCCCCAGTCTATCCAACTTCGACTCGAGTACATATATGCTGTCTTTCAATTTTCCCACTATTTAGAGGTCCAAACGTGAACTTTTTCCTGCAAAAGTTTTGCCTTGCATACTTGCCTCTTAAAAGGGAACCAGGACATATCCCCCCCCCCCCCCCCCCCCCGCGCCTTCCCTAGTGCCCTTTATGACTGATTTGCCGTTGATCCCGACTTTTTTCACCAGATCCTGATATTTTAACTCAGAAATCCTGATTTTTAGATTTCATAGAGTGGCAGGTCTGCGTCAGGACAATTGTTAGATAATGTGAGAGCTCTATATATATACCAACAGCAGAAGCTCAGTAAGAACGAAGGAAAGAAATACAGACTGGTTCAAAGTAAGATCTGGAGTACGACAGGGATGCGTTCTCCCCTCCTGTTTATAATATATATGGACACAATAACGCAAGAAGCAAACCAAAGCCCAGAAAGCCTAAATGAATTTCTGTTCGCAGACGACCAATGTCTAATTCATCATGACCAACAAAGCCTCCAAAATCACACTACCGAACTCAACAACACCTGTGAGAAATTCAACATGAAAATAAGCACATCAAAAACAGAAGTTATGAAAGTGAGTCGAAGCCATAGTCCCCTGAACATCCATGTCAATAGTAAACAACTGAAACAGGTGAAAGAGTTTAAATATCTTGGCAGCACTTTTTCTGAAAACGGGTCCATAAACAGAGAAATAGAAATGGGAACTCAAAAAGCCAACACTGTCACCTACTAGCTCGCACCCCTTCTATCTCATCCAAACATCTCCATGGACTCAAAGAGACAGCTTATCACCTCAATATTCATACC